AGGAAACCTTAAAGGATTTGGAGTACCTCTTACTCTCCAAGCTCTTGGTTTTGGGACGAAAAGGATGAAAATAAAGGCTTAACTTAGATCTAAAGGAGCATAAGCCAAGTTTGGAACTTTATACCTCCAAATGGTGCATGGTGAAGATCAGATGTTAGATCCAAAGTCTTGAGAGCAAAGCCTACTCCTTGAAGGTCCTTCTTCACAAACAAGGAAGAACAAAACTCCCTCCAAAGCTCAAAATGCTCAAAATAAACTAGGATTTGCAAGGAGGGTCGGTCTTGGGGTGGAGGATGATAAAGGGAAAGGTCTTGGGGCTATATTGGTGCTTAAATAGTGCACAAATGCTAAATATTAGGTTTTTGGTCTAAACCATGTACGCCCGACATACAGGAGTATGCGTAACAAACGGGCACGGGGTTTAGTATGCTCCACGTCCCAAGATGTACACCCATCATACTCAAGCTACACCAAAGGTCACAGAATTGCCCTTGCGGACCCAATTTCAAAATATTTCATAACTCAAGGGTCTAAAAGCAAATACCTGGAAAAGTAGATGTTACACCTAGACTGCTTAGCTTTATGACACATATCACAAATAGGTAGTGATTTAGAACCAAAAGAAACTACATCATAAAGAACATTCAAAGACTGAATAGTTGGATCTCCAAATCCATTATGCTAAGTTACATTACAGACACGCCAAGTATTTTGTAACATCCGGATTCTTAGGTATATTAATGGTGTGTTTATTTTGAGGTTTATTGAGTGACTCGATGAGTTGTGAGTCCAACTCATAGAGTAGAATCAAGATGATTGTGTGGGTTTAATGAGCGGACTCAATGAGTCAAAGAGCCGAATTGTGAAGTAGGTGTTGTGTAGTGAAACCCTAAATCCCCAGGTTTAGGGGCTATATAAAGGAGCTTATAGCCTTATTTGTGGCTCATGAGTTGCCCAACCTCACTGAGAGAAACCCTAGTCGCCTTTTTGAGCTTAAAGAGAGAATGTTGAGCTTATATTGAGTATTTTGGTGCATCTTGGGAGGGTAAGAGAAGGAATTCAAGCAAGGAACGAGAAGAGGCTGTTAGATATGTTGCTTTTCATCCAAGAGCTTATATAATAGTGAAATGTTCATACCTTTATCATTCTTATGGTTAGCTCTCTTGATTTTGGAAGGTTAGGGTTTATGCCACCTTTATTTGGGGTTTCGAGATTTCAGAGTTGTCTTCAGGTTTAGATCTCAGATCTGGACCATGTCAGGTCCCTAGAGTCTAAAGGTCCCGACTTTATTCACACATATGAAGGATATTGTGCTTGATACATTGTGAGAGCATGCTTTGGTATGTTAGAGAAAACGCTACCACGTATGAACGTAAAGATTGAAGCTTTACGTGATAGTGGAGTCTTCGGATGCTAGATCTAGTGTTTGGAGTAGTAAAGCTGCTTTGAATCGACTGAATGAGAAATCAGATTGAAGGGACTCGCCGAGTCTATGAGATGACTCGACGAGTCGGATGGGGTTTTTCGTCGATGAGTCTGGACATGGGTGACTTGGCAAGTTGGCGAGATAACTCGACGAGTCAAGGTGGATTTTTTCAATATGACAGAAGAAACAAGGGGGCTCAACGAGTCACATATATGAACTCGATGATTTGGGTCAAACATGGACTGTTGACTCGAGTTTGACTTATGTTGACATTAGGGTTTGGTCATACATGAGTAATGGAGACCATGGAAGGGTAAAATGGTCTTTTACCCAATCCAAAAGTTACAAAGATAAAGAGAAGGAAACCTTTTGGTATTGAGAATGACTTGAGTATTAATGAGAGATATTTATCCTATGTGATAGGCGGAGGCTAGTTCGAGATTTCCGTGTGCGAGATTATTACTTGTAAACTTTCGAGGTGAGTCTTCTTACTATACCTACCATGTCCGGTATCTTTGTGTGAACGAGATGTCTTATGTGCTCAACTGTGTATTGTGATATTCTGCATTTTCTCTTTGTGATTTATGTTCAGTCTTATTATTATGAGCTTCTTGATTTAGGACCGGAGGGTCCATCTGAGTTATGGTGCCTGAGGGTTCCACTGAGACACATTGATCGGAGGGTCTTATCTGAGTCTAGCCATGAGAGGCTACTGATATGTGTGTGGTATTTTGGAGAACTCACTAAGCTTCTTGATTACCTTGTTATGTGTTATGTCTTTCAGGTACTTGTCATGATATCGGGAAGGCGCCGACTCGATTGTACACACGAGAGAAAGAGTTATGTTTGGAGGATACTGGATATGTGATAAAAAAATTTAAATAAAAATGTGTTGAAATTTTGATACTAGTGATTTTGAGGAAATGTGACATGTTTATTTGTGTTTTGAAATGAAAAATTGGTTTTAAAGTTTATAGTGTTTGAAGGGTCCAGTTTGTGGTTTGGTCTAGGCTTTCCATTGTATAAGGTCTACTGAGTCATTTTATGTATTTTGGGGGGTGTTTGGGAGTTCACAGATAGGACTAGTGTTTACGGCCGTAAACAGGTTTACAGTCGTAAACCCTATTTACGGCCAATGTCTTCTATATATAGGGCTTGTCTAGGTCATTTGTGGTTATCGTTTAGAGTTCACGACCAGGAGCACTCAAGTTGTACTAGACGTTTTTTATATATAAACGTGTGCAAGCTTGATTTTAATCTTCTTCTACTCAATTCTTTTTATATTGATTGATTGATTGCTTGATCACTGGTTAAGATCCATTTTTAGGACCTTACAATTCGTATCAGAGTAAAACCGGTGTCAAAACATCTTTCAATCAAGTTTTTGGCCAAAGGATATTAATTTCATCAATATTCGAGATTGCTTTTAGTGATTACGTGACAAGAGGGGATCGAATATACTCAAATTTCTGTTTTTTGTCAACATTCTGTGAGTTTACAGCCATGTATTTACGGTCGTAAAGTCCTATATACGATCGTAAACTCAAGATCTTCAATAACCGTGAACTGACTTTCAACCGTGAACTCAAGAATCTTTGTTGACTGTAAACTCCAATTGACCGTAAACTCTGTTTGACCATAAACTCGGATGACCGCAAACTTGTTGACCGTAAACTTCGTTTACGACCGTAAAGACCATTGACCGCAAACCAACATTTGACTTTTCTTGTTTTTAATCTTTTTTATTTAAATTTTAATTAAAATTAAAATGGATTCTCAATGTCAAGCACATCATCACGAACTGGACCAGTTATGGGAACAACCACATGTATTCCAAGATTGTTGTCTGCAGATGGGTTTCCTGAATGGAAATATCAAATTGAAAAATACATCAAAATGAAAGACTTCAAGATTTGGCGAAGCATTATCAAAGGTCCAATCAGAATAACTACCACTATTGCTAGACAACAGGTTGACAAAGCAGTTGAAAATTATACCGATGAGGATTTTGAGAAAGTTGAAGAACAGGAAGGGCCTTTAGCCACTCTAACTATGGCTTTATCTCATGACATAGCTCAAGGTTTCAGAGAATATACTTAAGCTAAAGCATTCTGGGAAGCTTTGATCGACTTTTACGAGGGAAATGAAGACATGAAGGAAAGCCGTCAGGATATGCTACGACAAAAATTCAACATGTTTAACGATAGCCCTGGATAAACCCTGGAGGCTTGGCTACAACGATTTACCACTCTCACTACTGAGATGAATATAGATGGAATCTTCTTGGCTAAGTCCGAGATAAATAAAAAGCTACTGAATGGACTTCCAAAATCATGGGATATGAATGTAGATGTTATCAAGAAGACAAAAGATCTTAATCTTCTCACTCTTGCTGAAACAGTGGCAATTATCAAAGCCTATGATCTTGATGATAAGTAGCGCGAGATTAATCATGTGAATTCCTATTCGACCGAAAATCTCGCGAGATCTTCAAACAATTCTCTTTCATCACTCATCTCCTCTCCAGGACAAGCGTTCGCTGTTCAACAACCTCAAATTCAGACTTTTTCTACTCTATCAGCAACATCTTTTACTGCTGCATCATCCATGCCTCACTCACAAAACCAGTTATCTGTTGCTCTACAAGCTGCTCCCTCTTCCAATGTACTAGTTGTGGCTTCTTCCTCAAACTCCAAAGAAAATGATTCAAATCTTGCTCTTGCCGCTGGACTTGTCAACTGTTATAATTCCATTTTAGCCGGAGAGCTCCCACCTCAACTATCATTTGCTAACCTGGATCAAATTCATCCAGAAGATGTGGAAGAGATGGATATTACATGGCAAATAGCTATGGCAGTGTTCAGGGCGAAGCAGATCGAAGAATGAACAAGGAAAGGAAAGAATAACTCGGAAATAAGTGCCGACAAGAAAGTGGGATTTAACAAAGGAAAGCTACGATGCTTCAATTGTCATGAGCCAGGTCATTTTGCTTGTGAGTGCCCGAAACCAGATCGAATAATGAACAATGACAGAATGATCGTTGTCGTGGGAAATAATCGTGGAGGTGCCAGGGTCAATAGTGAGACTGCAATGGTTGCTCAGTCTTTTGACTGGGAGGACCAGATTCAAGCCCTAAATATTTTAGGACCTAAAAATGCTCACTTTGGCCCGAATCAATGATGATGCTCCTGTGAAGAATGATGAGGCTGATCCAGAAGAAAAGATGATGGAGCTTTAGTTTTCCCTAATGGTATCTTCTACCTCAGAATCCAAGAAGAATGAGGTAAGTTTATCTTCTTGTTCTTAAGCATGCATTGACTATGTTAAAATTTTGGGAAAACTACAATAAAGTCCGTATGTATGGCTCGTATAATCGATTTAGCCCCTATATTTTTTTTTGCAATTTAGTCCTAAATACCTGTAAACGTAATCAAAACCGGATATTTAATGGGTTAGCCGGTATCTAACTGATGTGGCAGCTTACCTGGAAGTCATCATGTTAAATAACATCCTACGTGCCATTATAGAGGGCTAAATCATTGAATCGAGCTCGTCTTCTTCATTCTCCAGTCAAATGAGCGAACGATTAGGGCAAATTGGAAACACGGAATCGATGTCGAGTTCGTCAAGAACCAACATCAGAATATGCTATTGTGGAGATAGGGCTGGTATGTGGACATCATGGACTCGAAAGAATCCAGGTCGAAGGTTTTTTGGTTGCCCAAATTACATGGTATAGAATCTTCAAATCTCACCCAAATTCTTCTAATCCTCTAAAATTCCCATTTTTCTGTGTTAAAAACATGCATTTGCTATGTTATGTAGGATGAAGAGAAGGACTGTGGGTATTTTCGTTGGATTGAGCCACCACTATTGAATAAGTGGTATAAAGAAAGAATGTATGAATTAGGAGTTTTTGCTAATGGAGGTGTAGCTATTTCTTTCAATAACCCTGTTAATGAAGGTGAAATACCTATTGATGGCCCTATTGCCCATATGAATGTTGATGTCCCTATTTCCCCTGTGAATGCTCTTGAACCTGATAATCAAATTACAATGCGTGAGAATACACATGTTCCTGGTAATGAATTTGCATTCTGCAAGTGGATGATGGTTTGTTTCGTTTGTTTCATTGTAGGGATGATGTATGCTTAGTTTAGTGTAAGTTGTAAGGTATTATGATATGGTAAGGATGATGTAGTCTTTTGGTTTGTTATCATGATGTAATAGATGGAGAAGGGTTTACTGTAATAGATAAATGTTCTTGTGGATCATGTAATATTTTGGTTAATGAAATGGCAATATGTTATTATGGTTTGCATAAATGGTGTACACTAGTGAAATATAACCATGATTTAACAATTGGTGTTGAATTTGGGGCTACAATGATCACCATTGACAACAAACTAATGAAGTATGCACACTTGTGGCTAAAATAATTAAACAACAAACTCCAATATGTCATTACCAACCATGTTAAGGGCATTCACAATGTTTCAATGTGTTTACAAAAGATGTATAAAATATGGCTATCAGTCATTTAAGGGCATTCACAAAAGATGTACAAAAGTAGCATTCACAAAAGATTCACAAAAATAGCATTCACAAAAGATGTACCAAAATACCCTTACTACCCTTAACACCCTAACACCCTAATCCAACTCCAATGTTGAAATTGCAGAAGTCCCAAGACATCCCATCTTCTTCAGCTTGTTTTTAACAATCCTCTGAGAGGGCCTTCTTCTTTTCACAATCCTAAGGTGTACTGGTAATTCCTGGGTGTCATTAATGCCTTCTTGTTCTTCACTTTCTGGTTGTGTCTCAGGGATAATTTCTTCACCCCCATCTTGTGTCTCAGTTTGAGGTGGATACTCCTCTTCCTATAAAACATCAAGAAATTAATAACATAAATGAATGTAAACATTAAGGTAATATAGAGGGTTTACCATACACATAGGAAGAACTTGTTCAATACTATCATTGTAATCATTAAGTTGCTTCATACATGAATCTGTCAGACTAAGTGAATTTTTAATTTCTTCAATTGAATACCCTGATTGTTTCAAATCTTGCATTGACTTCCATAAATGGACTAAATATTTTTCAGGAATAGTGTCATCCTCATTTTCAACTGTATCACCTTCAACTTCAGCACCTCCACCACCTTCAACTCTAACAGATGTCTTACTGCCCCTACCACTTCTTTTACTACCCCTACCACCTCTCTTACTACCCCTACCACCTCTGTTCGCCACTACACCACCTATGTTACCCACTGCACCACCTCTATTACCCCCTCTACCACCTCTACTACCTCTGACACCACCTCTTACACCACCTCTAGTCCAATGATTGATATCAGGATCCAATCTTGGTCTACCCATTTTTTTCTTGGGTTTGGGTTCTGGTGTGACCTTGGGATTCTTACAGGATGCCTTGTTATGACCCCTTTAAAGACAATTTTTGCATTGGATTGTCCTTCCTATTCCAGTAACCTTCATCTTGTTTTGGGAGTATTTATCTTGAGATTCAGTGACATGCCTCTTTCTTTTCAGAGTTGGTCTCCCTGACATTCTTCTAGCTAAAGGGGGTAGAGGCTTTATGTATGATGTTTTAGGCCATAAATTTCTACCATTCACAGGCAGTATCTTGTTTGCATATATGGCCTTGACCCTGTCCACATTAAACCACTCACTTATGAAATGAACAGGATCTTGTCCAGTGAATAGTATTGCACACTGTGCATGTACACATGGAATTCCTGAGATATCCCAAAGCTTACAGCTGCACACTCTGCTTTGTAAGTTAACCACGTACCCTTCTAATCCATTCTTGGCTTCAAAAATGGATGGTCCACTTGGATTCACATTCCAATTCCTACAATAGCATTACTAAATGAAATCATAACAATGAAATTAGAATAATGATAACAAGGAACAATAAAAATTCTAAGACAAACCTCAAATCCTCTCCAAACTTGTTCATTTTCTTGATAGCAGCTGGACAAACCACTGATTCCCACTTTTCTGCCTTTTGTAACATATGGTAGAACCTATCCATCATGTACAACCTAATTTCTTCAAACATTGCTAGAAGGGGTTTCTTTCTAGCATCCAATATGATGGTGTTGAAGCACTCTGCTATGCCATTTTCAACTGCCTCACATGCTACATCAGTCCTAAAAAATGCCCTGCATCATGTGTGAGGATGTCTTGCAATCAAATGTTCATAAGCATTTGGATTATCCTCTTTTATATCATCCATTTTCCTCAGAAATTCACTCTCTACAGTTGATAAGGAAGTTGCCCAGAACATATTCTTGAACTCCACTCCAGAATAGGTCTTCCTAAAGTTAGCATATATGTGTCTTGCACACTGTCTATGCTCCACATTTGGTAGGAATTCCTTGGTTGCTTCAATCAATCCCTACAATTTAATGAATACATAAACATATAAGATGATGTTAAGGAAAAATCATAAATATGCTAAGAAATTACAAACCTTATATTGATCAGAAATGACAGTAAACCCTCCTCCATCTAGAAGATTAAGATCCTCTGTGAGCAGTTCCAGAAACCATTTCCAATTAGCTTTGTTTTCAATGTCAACAACTGCCCAAGCAATTTGATAAACTTGGTTGTTTGCATCCCTCCCTATTGCTGTGAGTAATTCTCCTTTACATGTCCCTTTCAAGAAAGATCCATCTAGACCAATTACCCTACAACACCCTATTTTCCAACCTTCCTTGATTGCTTTAAAACACAAATACATCCTGTGAAAGTATGTTGTTTGATCTGGATTTATAGTGACACCAGCTTGGACAGTGCTACCAGGATTTAACCTTAGTAACTCATGACAATAGTCCCACACCCTAGCATAATGTTCTGTGAGTTTACCATCTATAATGGTCATTGCTCTACACCTTGTTCTGTAATCCTTAGACCAAGACACACCACAATGAAATTTGGTCCTAATTATTGATTGCATCTCCTTACACTTCAAGTTAGGTTTCATTATCAACTCCTTCAAAAAGTATCTTGCTAGCCATCTGGGACTCAGTAAATTTGAAATATTGAAATTTCTAACACATTTGTGCTCATCCACTAAGGTTTTACTGAGAGAAACGGAAGGGTAAAAGTCACTTGTACACGTAAGGTGCCACATGCGTATAGTATCGGTGGGATACCGGCTAACCCATTAAATTTCCCGTTTTGATTACGTTTACAGGTATTTAGGACTTAATTGCTAAAAAAAAATATAGGGGCTAAATCGATTATACGGGCAATACATAGGGACTTTATTGCCGTTTTCCCTAAAATTCTTCGTGAGGAAATAGAATCATTACGTAGGGAAGTCGAGGACCTAAAATATGAAGGTTATCAAATTAGAAAAGGACAAAAACCCCCTACAGGCCCAATTAGAAGCAAAAATCAAAGACTTTAGGAAACTTCAAGAAGACTATAGCAACAAATGTGAAAATTATGACTATATCAAGAGACAACTTGCTGAATTGACTACTTAGCTTGACATATTAAAAGGCAAATTTGAAACTGCAAATTTTAATTTTAGAAAATTTGATGTGTCAAGTGAAGTAGTTGCCAACATGATAGACAATTGCTTGCAATTTGAACATAACCAGCATAAGGGTTTAGGATACGATAAAGTGCCTCCTCATTTCAATCATAATTTTCTATCACCCTGTAACTGATGAGGAGATTGCCAGCGAACCATTCATGGTTTATGGCAAACCAATTGGTTTTGTTTCAGGAGGAATTATTAATACTGAAAGTACTAATGTTTCTACTTCTCCTGCAGATCAGTCCTTAAATTATTCAAAGCACGAAGCTGAAGAATACGTTTCTGATAATAAAACTATGTTTGGACTATGTCTAAACCTGATGTTTATATTTTGAATGAAAACTTTAATGTTTCTAATGTTAAAGTTAATGTACCTGCATCATATCATGTTGAGTTGAATTTTTTTTGACGTATTTGATTATTTGTTTGCTAGTCCTGATACTTCTGATGATTCTGTTACAAGCACACCCATTCCACAAGTCACACAACCTGATGCACCCTCACTTATCGCATAATCTGGTTCTTGCACTTGTTCTTATGGGAAAAGTAAGGGTGTCATTAAAGAAAATAAATCTGAAAAATGCAGTACCGATTTCAATAACAACAAATAGATTTGTTTAAATTGTGGTACTGGTGGTCATATTGCTAGGAATTGTCCCAATCGGTCTTTTGTACACTTTTTGTCACAAAGAGGAGAGAATGAGTCTAGAGGAAGATCTTTAATTAGAAAGTCCTCAAAAGATCTCTCTCGAGATGATGATTGGAAGGATGATCAAAGCAAGAAAGGGTGGTTTTTCAAAAGAATAAACATGTTTTTAATAACAAAGTCACAAACAGTTTGTAGTAATCTAACAAGGCTCCGCAAAGATCGGTTTCATCAAAGAGTGGATCTGGGTCTTCAACCACTTCTGGTAGAAAATCCAAATGCTCAATGCAAACTGAAAAGAAAAATGATTCAAAACAACCTATGATTGTTAAGAAACCTAAAAATAAGTGGATGCCCAAATTAACTTCCAACCAATCATCGTCATCCTATGAAAAATTTGTAAATGATAATTCAAAATTAAAGGTTTCAAAAGACACATCTGAGTTGGCAAAGGGTCAACCTAGGAAAGTAATGACCTGGGTTGCGAAATCTAAATAATTTCACTCATCTTCCAGGACAGTTAGGGAGGAATGTCGTCAAACCTTGGTATGTCGACAACAGCTGCTCCCGGCACATGATTGGAGACATCTCCTAATTGAGCAACATTCAATCTTTTAATGGGGGTTATCTTTCCTTTGCAGGCAAAGAAGGTGGTAAAATCACTTAGAGAGGAACCATTATAAATGGAGTGTTGAGTTTCGAGAACGTCAAATTTGTTCCTGAATTAAATCATAGCTTGTTGAGTGTTTCTCAGATTTCCATAAAGGATATTCAACGCTTTTTACTTATAAAGAGTGCATGATTCTTAATCCAGGCATTGTCATCCTGGAAGAGTGGATCCCTCTCAAATCAAAGTGGGATGGCAATGCATATTGAACAGTAACATTCCTGAACAAGTCACTTGCCTCTTTTTGAATGTCTCAGAACAAAATGCAATGTTGTAGCATCAACGACTCAGTCATGGTAACACTAAGAATCTAAATTATCTTGTGAAAAATGAGATGGTACGTGGCTTACCCGTCAGAGACTTTATAACATTTGGGAAATGTACGTCTTATGCCTAGGGAAAGCATCATAGAAAGACATACCTGCCAAAATAGGTTAATTCAATCAGCCAGGTGCTCCAATTATCGTACATAGACTTATTTGGTCCAGTCACTGAGCAAAGCATCAACCGAAACTTGTATTGTCTGGTTGTGATCGATGACTTCTCTCGTTTTATGTGGGTTTTCTTCTAATCTGACAAAGCTACGGTTGCTGATCTTATAAAGAAGTTCATTGTGATGATTTAGAACTAGACTCATAATTGGGTAAAGGCACTTCAATACAGCTTTGTTCACACACCTCAACAAAATGGTGTTGCTGAGCGGAGGAATCGAACATTAAAAGACGCTGCAAGGATGATGCTTTATGACTCTATGTTACCTGTTTTCTTTTGGGCTGAGGCGATTAACATTGCTTGCTACATTCAGAATCGTGTTTTAATCAACAAAGCCTAGATGAAGACTCCACATGAAATTCTTTATGCTCATAAGCTTTCAGTCAGCCACATCCGTGTATTTTGCTGCCCTTGCACGCTTCTTCACCTGGAATCCAATCTGAAGTTCAATACCAAAAGCCGATGATTGTTACTTCATGGGGTATGCTACTCGCACTGCATATAGGGTTTACAACAATAAGATGAAGCAGATTGTAGAATTCTTCGACATGCGTTGGTTAGAGGAAAATGAAACGGATGCTCGAGTGGGACCTGGTTGGCTATTTGATTACACATCATTGTTCAAATCATTCAATATGTATTCATATGTTTCATCTGGTTCTTCCTCTTGTTCTTAGATTACTCCTGAAGATAAAGATGAAGCAGCTGTTTCCAGACCTCCATCGGCATCCTTTTCAACTCCTCAGGGGGAGTCATCTGTTCCACTTACTAGTCTAGAATCTCACGCTCAACATGATGCTCCAGATGCTGATGCTACACCTCTTACTCCTTGTAAAGCCCCGTTTATAAATATTTATAAAGGTAGGGACTTCGTGGTAATTATTTGGAATTAATTTAAAACGAAAGGATGTGGAAGGGCTGAATATCTCATAACTAAGATATTGGGTGCTATTTGGTAAATTTTGTACCTAAGATGTAAAGGATTAATGTGGAGGGTAAAATGGTAAATATTGGAGATATTTTGAATGAAATGGGAGATGGAGGGACCATTCGGTTATTATGGAAAGAAGTGTGGGGATCGGGGTATTTAAACCCATCACCCCTGGTTACCCTAGTCCCAGCATCGTTTCCAGCCGCCAACGCATATTCGAAGTTTTCTCAGCCGCCACCTCCATTCCATTGCATGAACGGTGGTCTCTTCTGTTGCCGGTGAAGTCGGGGTCGAGGGTGAAGCAACTGCGTGGTAGGAAGGTTCAAGATCGAGGGATGATGTTGTTGTTCTCCGGTGGAGGTGACTTCCATTATCCCGCTGCTGTTTCTGGTGGGAGTCGCCCACCTTTTCTCCCCTCATCTCCGCCTGTTAGCGTCTCCTTTCTCCATGGGTTCGGTGTTTGGCCATAGTCACGACCGCCGCCGCAAATCGATGCTTAGGCCGTTGCTACGAGTTGTTGATTCCACCGTTATACACCATCAAGTGGTGGTTGCATCCGGGAGTCCGAGCAAGGGTGGTTTCCGTCCCAAAGTTGTTGTTATCGCCATGAATGTTTCCTTGCCGCCGTTATCCATTGTTGGTGCCGCCTTCTCAGATCGTTGTCATCGCGTTTTAGCCATTAGGTGGGTGGTTGGATACTTTTTCGAGCAAGAGATGTGGGTGTGTGTGGTTCGGATGTTATCATGGTATGTGAATCACCGTTCCATCATGTTGTGTGTGAGTTTTGTTGGCTGGTCGGAGATTTAAGAGTGAACCACCATGGCAGCCAACCATGGTGGGTGTTGCCATTTGTTTTCTACCACCTTTGACCACCGTGTGTGGGTGGCAGTGGGCATACATCGGTGTGTGGGTGTGTATTTGACAATGAAATATAGCATAAGGTATGTGTGTGTGTGTTATGCATAGATGGAAATCAAGAATTGCCACATGGTGGTGGCTGCCGCCATAAACCACCATGTGTGTGTGTGTGTTAGTGGTTGTGTGTGTTTAGTCGAGATTAGCATTGTAAAATGTAATCCTGCCGCCGCCTGCCGCCACCGACCGCCGTGTCGGGTGGCGGTGTCCTTAGTTGTGTTGGGATTGCTAGTTTGGGGATGTTTGGACAAGGGACCAAAACCCTAATGGGCCTTGAAACCCTAATGGACCCAATGAAGCTTAATGGACTCTAATAGGCCCAATAAAGCCCTAATTGATCTAAAAGCCCAACAAATTAATAAATGAGCTAGTATTGGGTTGGAAAACCCTAATGCCATCAAAACCCTAATTTTGGGGAATTAATCGGGACACACGAGAATTAATTATTAAATCTTAAATAATAATTAATAACCATCGGCAAACTAGCGTAAGACATAATGGACTTAATGGATTAAGTCCTTAATGGGTTAAGAAAGAAACATTGAACCTTAATCATCATTTCATGTGAAAACTCTAATTTGGGATTATGGGCTTGGACTTGTTGAGACCCACATTTGGGCCATTGGAATGTAATTGTGTGATTAAGCCCAATCACACCATATGACTTATTTAGAAGAATGGACTTAATGGATTAAGTCCTTAAAGGAATAATTCCTTAATGGGTTAAGTAGGAAACTTAACCCTAATCGGCATTTTATGTGAAACCCTAACTTCATTTGGGTTTCTTGTTGGGCCTTTCTTTTGGGCCTTAATGATTGGATTATTAATGGGCCATCCAAGAATAATTATATGGGCTAAAATAATTTAATGGGCCTAAGGTAAGTCCCATGTAAG